TAGTAGAATAAATCAGTTCATAGTAAAAAGAATAAAATATGAAATCAAAGTTATGAACATTCAAATATCAAACAATAAATAAAAACCCAAGGAAAAACAAAACCCAATTTGAGGAAATCGAACTCCTTGATCTTCTATTGTTGGAACCTCAATCTTGATCTCCAAGAGTGCCCAAAGAGGGCTGCCACCAGCCTCCCCAAGCTCCCTTAATTCTGAATTTGGATGGGTATTTATAGGATTTTAGAAACCCTAATTGAAATAGAAGTAGGACTTAGAACAGAAATAGGAAACTGAATTTTGGATGCTGATCGCGTGGTGCTGACACTTCGGATTACGTGTTGACACAAATTAGGAAACAGAATCTGTTTCTGGACGTTTAACGCATGGTGTCGACACCCCGATCATGTGTCGACACTACACCCGTGTCGGGTTTCTGGTCTTCTTTTGCAATTTCTTCAATGGTAAAATAGCAGATTTGGTTCCTGACTTCTGGATTCTGCACAAGTTGATCCTCAAGTCTCTGATCTCTTCAATTTACTTCTAAAAAGTAAGATTTCTTCCAATTAAATCCTTTCCTACAAAAAGAATGAAAACCATGTAAAATCAAACAAAATCTCATAAAACTCATCCAAATATCAATAATATCAAGGTAAAAATTTTCTATTAATATGTATATAAATTTAGCTCATCACATGGTTTTTGAAAAGAATAAAAAATGGAGACTAACTTGGGCAAAAGTAAAGGCAAACTACATTCTCTGATTTTTGTATTCTTTTCCCCCAAAATCATTTTTGTTTCCGGTAATATGTGTTAAAATACTAATAAATTGCAAAATTTTCTTCATTGCAACCTTATTAACTGGTTTTTCAAAACTTCTGCATTGTCATTTCTCAAGCATTTGGAGCCTGCTAATATGCATTTTGTAAGACTATAACTTTTGCTTGTTTGCATTAGTCGTAACTCATAAGTTGATTTCACATTTACATGTATTTGTGTTTCCTTTTCAAATCCTTATTTTAGTATATGTGGATGACTATTGCATTACAGATCTATGTTCTCTCAGTTTCAATATTGATTCTTAATATTAAAGTCACGACGAACCTATAACAAACTTGGGTTCGCGACAAACCTAGATAATAACAATTAAATTTGAGTTGGCATGTACACCTAAACTAATCGTATAATTTGTCATTGACATGTCATGAAAAAAGTGTCATTTTGGAATATTTAACTGCCAACTGTGATTTAACTGACGGAAGATCAAAATTATGCAATTCTTAGAGTTGAGGGATAAAAAAAAATGCAAAAAATTATTAAGGGATAAAAAATGTGCAACTCACTAAAGTTGAGGGACCAAATTTAGCATTTGACCAAAAAATAAAAAAAAATATATAATTAAGGGACTAAAAGAATATATAAAAAAAATTGAAGGATTCAAATTGAGCAAAAAAAACCTAAACTTGAGGGCTCAAAATTAGCATTTAACCTATTATTATTATTAATCACGCGCTAT